ATGGAGTTTCCCAAAAAAAACACCTTACATTTTGTCTTGGGGAGGGCGGGGGCGGTAGCTGCAGTTGAGCCTGTGTTGCCTGTAGGAGCTGGCACCTCAGCAGGCTCTGCTGGAGCAGCAAGAGGTGCATACCTGTTGCTAAGCTCCAGCAGGGCAGGGGCCTTGGGGCAGTGGGCCTTAGGGCCGTTGACCACCTTGGTCCATCCCCCTGACTGGACAGACTGGGAGGTCCCAGAGTCTTCCTTTGTCCTGGAGGGAGACTGTGGTCTACCCTCTGGCTCCCAGGGAAGAAGGACCTGGCAGTAGGAGTCTATGTACTGCTCACAGTCCCTAATGGCACACAGTTTCTGGACTGCGGCCTGGAGCTCCTCCAGTTGGTGTGCCAGAGACCCCAAAAGGGAGCAGACCCCACAAGGGGAGGTGGCCATGCTCCCGGGCCCCAGAGCCTGAAAAAGGGACAGGCAGCCCCCGCAGCCAAGAGCCAGAGGCTCCATCTGCGTGGAGCCTGGAACCATGGGCTCCGTCTGGGTGGCTGTCTCTGAGGTGCCAGAGGTGGGGGGGCCACAGAGCCCGATGGGACCTGAGGGGTGCAGTGCGTGCCCATCCGCATCATGCCGTTGGTAGGCTGGCTACGGCTGGGACTGTCTACCCTAGGGGGCTCGCAGGCAGGGCCTCGGGCCCTCCCGCACACCCTCCTACATGAACTCTGCGCTAACTCACATGCCAGCAGACATGCGTGCCTGTTTGCGCAACCTGTTCGCATGGCTCCCTGGGGGGGCTAGGCAAAGTAGGGGTCTGAACAGGGCAAGACCCAGCCCGGCTCCCACTCAGCCGCCTCCTCCCACTCTCTAGGGGTTAACTCCCTCTCACCATGGGTCCCCGCTACCTCCGGCTTTGCTGGGGGTCAGCAGGGGGCTCTGCGGCTGCTGAGGGGTCTCTGAGGGGCTTCGGGGGAGTGGGGTCGCAGTGGACTTTCACCCGCACGTCTCTCGCCACTCCCGGAGACTAACTAAGGTTTTTTTTGCTGTTGGCAGGCCCTTTTAAACTACGCGCAAGAGAGAGCGTGAGCACTCACACATAGATACTCTAGAAACACATGTAAAAGGTGCAGTGACATGGCAGAGGATTGAGAGCATGGTGGACTATACCCAGCAGTCAATCGGGGTGGGGGCTTGCCCATTACGCTCTGCTCAGGAGTCTTTAGTAGCCCAGGGAGCCCACAGGGCATGCTGGGAGACATGGAGAGTACCCTCTACCTGCTGACTTTGGCCAGTGTAGGAAGACTCTGAGCTTCCCCTACCGAATGTCAAACATCTGTTCAGGTCACTCTTGCTCTAAGTTAGACCACTGTATGTAAAGCACAATAGTCAGAGCACTTCTGCCTTGGGCTTTTTGAATGTCTGTACTTAGCCCTAGTGGCCAGGAGCTGTAAAAAGGCTTTCTAATGCTGGTAACTAGCTTTGGAGAGCCAGGTGTATAGAGTAAATTTACTATAGAGTAAAATAGGGGGCATATTACTCTCTAATAAATCATGACTGTGTGTCTGCACCTTGAAATCAATATGAACTATGGATATTCAATGTTCCTTTTATTTAAAAATAGCTTTTTTCAGAAATGACATAACATAAGTAGCTCAGTACAAGAACACAAACCTGGTGATATAAATCAAAGCCAATTTAACTGATTCTACAATAAATTATGATTGGCAAGCAAAATTATCTTGGCTGGATATTTGTGTAAGCATGTTTTTATTTAAATAAATTTTACAAGAGAAAATAAAATGTATTGCCTTGATTAAACTGCAAGCATTTAAATATACTTGCACTGTTTTGTATTAAAAAGTTGTTCATTTATATTTTAAAGGGCATCTGCATTAGATATACAAGTTCTATATAGAGGGAAATAGATATGCGTGCATATATACATACATACATACTAGCTAGTATCCAAATTATAAGAGCTATAATTATATTCCAGTAAGTATTGGTAACTATAGAGATTGAAACATATAAGTTGTTGACTGTGACTTGACACTTGAGAAGCTGCAGATACTCTAGCTGTAGCTGAGTTGTCTACTTACAGTACAATACAAAATGCAATTTCCATATATAGTTTGGTCCACTGCATCAATATTTTAGTTCCAGATTTAAAAACTTCAAATTTAGCTTTCATGGCTGTTCTTAATAATTAGACAACCACAGCAAATTGATTAATTTTTAGATTAAAAAGGTATTTTAATCATAATTTTATATCTTCTGTTTTTTAAACAAGGCTTAAGAATTTTTTTTTTTTTGACAAGGGGAAGAGAAGTGGAAAAAATAGCAGAATGGGAGGAGGTGGTAGAAGGCTACAAGGCAGGTGGTGGTGGTGGTAAAACGGGAGAAAATCAGAGGTAGCAACACTGAAAATAGAGGAATTAGTAGGCTCTATTTTGATGTTGGGGGAATAGAAGGACGAGAATCAGAAGCAAGGAGTGGAAAAGGAGCAGAAGACAAGCATGCTCCTCCCTGTTCTCCCCTTTATTGCCTCCACTCTCTCCCACTCTCATCATTATAGCAGTTAACTTGAATCTCATTCCTCCATGCTGCTCAGTATGGTTTCCTCCAAAACTCTAAGCAGTTTCTACTGCATCAAGCAGAAGCTTTCAACCTTGAACACTTCTGTCTGGACCCAATACACCATCCTTACATCTCCTCTATCACTCAGACGTAGAACACTGCATTTTGTCTACTGCTCCTCTGTCTTTTTTCAGTAGTTCTTCCCACTTCCTTCATCAATAAAGAAGGGAAATACTGGTGCCTTCTGTACTTCTTCAGCTGGACATTAGTAACATTTTTAGTCCCTGTTCAGAAGTTCCCTCCCAAGTTCAGCCAGTTTTCTTCAAGCCTTTTAAACTTTCTTTGAGGAATCAGCAGAGGACAAATACCCTAAAAAAAACCCGTTTGCTGCTGAAACAGATCTCTCCAAAGTATTTATTAGTAGAAAGGTCTGAAACCTGAAAGTAAGACTGACCTCTTGTAAGAAAGCTGAAAGTAAAAATACATTCAACCTTCTGCTTCAAAATTAAATCCTACCTAACTTGCCTGAATTCTCTGAAATCTAAAAGCATGTTTTGAGATAAGTGCACTTTGACAAACACATGCTCAATGCCTCTTTGTTTGCAGTAGCATCCTATGGTCCTAAGCAGGGTTTGAGGAATTATTGTATTAGGTCCTGATCACACGCTGGAGAAAATACAGCTCCTACCTTAAAAAGCTTACAATCTAAAAACATGAAGAGACAACACACAAAAGTAAAACACATGATAACAATGAAATAATTGATTAACATAATGAAAAGTAACATCAGACCATCTACCTAGTCACTTCCAAGTGTCCTAGGACTGTGCCGTGACAGTGATATAAGGAGTGATCTAAAGAACAACGATATACATTGCTTTGTAAGCTTTTTAGGAAAGCTCCTTTCAAAAATAAGGGGCACTATGAGAGAAAGTTTAAAGGTATTTAAAGAAAAAATTGAAATTAGGGACAAAAAAGCCACACAGTGTTAACAGACCAGTGGCAGGATTAAAGACTTAAGTATTAAATAAAGTCTACAGGTATAGTGGAGTGAAGACAAATACTTTGTTTAATGAAAAGGAGGTAACCAGCAAAGGAACAATATAAGAGGCAAATCTTGCCCTCAAATACATTCCTGCAGCTTTCATTAGGAGGTGATATGATTCCATTATCTTTCTATATTCTATCGCATTGAATAATATTTAAATACTCACTTCATCAGTAAGAAACTCCTTACTCAGGCCGAAGTCTGTCAGCACCACATGGCCATTAGAATCAAGAAGAATATTCTCAAGTTTTATATCCCGATATATAATCCCCAACTGCAAATAAAATATAAAACCAGTATTTCCAAATCACTGTTAAAATACAAACATACAATTTAAAAATATGTTTCTAAATTTGAATTTAGCAAAACTGATTACAAATCTCAGATAAAACCTATGCAAAACAACCTAAACCTTAACAACTATTGATCCTCAATTTAAAGACAAAACACACTGCAGATATGTGGTACAGTATTTGATATACATGCATACTGAATATATGCATAATTTACTAAAATGCATTAACAACACTAGTCCAAATTTTTGTCTACTGTTTACATTAACAAACATTGGTTATTTGCACATCAGTTAAACTCATAAACAACTTAATGTATAGCATTTTTCAGCCCTACTATTTACTTTACTTTGTAAGGTAATTGTACTACAGTTAACTATATACCAACTGGCATTAGTAATGGTAAAGGAGAAGCAACTTTCAAAGGGCTGCAATTAGAAGCCCTGAAATTAACAGGAACTAGCCAGTTTTCAAGCTTCTATCCTGAAAAGGATGGAAGCTAGTCAGTTAAAAGGGTATCTTCTTAATTTTCAAGGCTTCAGACAGCAGCCACAAAATTTACTAGCTACCATCCTTTCCAAGGCTTCTAATGTCAGTCTTGAAACTAAATCTTAGATTCCTTAAAAATGCTAGAAGCACTGACCATGTTATTTACTCAATAAGTGCAGTTAAGATGAAATTTTAGACAACTGTATACTCTGAGCAGTTGTTGCACACTCTTTTTCAATCCTAAAACAATGCACTTAATTACACTGAAATTAACCCCCCCCAAACCAGCAGTAAAATAGATAGATTATATACGATAAAAACATAGATAAGATTGATAATATACCTAATCTTGTTAGCTAGAGCAGAGTAATGACAATTTGGGTTCTTAATTGATATACATCTTGATTTCCTACATTCTAGTGCTTATTTTTAGAGATAGCTGGAACATCCTGGTATATTTTTACCTTAAAATTACTGATAAGTAATCAACCCTAGTTTCGTTCTTAACAATTTTAATTGGAAATTTCCCTTTTTTCTTTAAAATAGAAAATTCTTACATAAGCACTAAACACCATATCAAGGTAAAAAATGTCACCAAGCAATATTTCTAAAAACTTTATATTTTATGACAAATTAACCAACATACCCCTGGGGTGATGTATCCACTGCAAAGAAACAGTACCAGAGTATATGCACCAATTTTCCCCCATCTCCTTACCTCCACATTAACTTGCTTAATTTTTACACATTTCTATACATGTATATGTTTCTTCTTCCTTCCTGAACCTTAAGGAACTTTGTTTCCACATACCCTGTTTCCCTCCTCCATCCCATCTCCCAAATTTCCATGTACATAATCAACCTGTGTTCCCCTTCATAGACTTTCTGTTCAGTAAATCTGGTGCAAGGTATATATTTTGAAAATGAATGTTAGGATTAATAGCATTTTTTCTATTTATTTTTATAACTGAAAGTTTACTGTCTAGCAGAAGCCAAAAATATTCTTTTGCTGAAAACCTGCCCACTTGCAAAATATATGCTACTATTATTGTTCATGCTATTAAGATAGACTTAGTCTAAAAAATATGCTTCTTTCAAAACAGCTACTACTTCCTATTGTCCCCAGAGAGAATAAAGCCAAATTGCTCTTCATACAAATAATAAAGGAGAATAGTCTGGGAAGCCAGGTGTCCAAGGAGAGTGGTCGCTCCTTAAGGAGACGATCCTCCAAGCCCAAAGGGAGGTAATCCCAACATGGATCAAAGGGAGCAGGAGGGCACACAAGCCCCCACAGCTCATCAAAAGCATCTGGGAATGTCTCCCAGCTAAAAGGGAGGCGTACACCCAATGGAA